CAGAGGCTGGGCAGGGGCTAACACCCCCCTGGTGCCTTCTCCATCCCTCCTGCTCAGGAGACCTTGGAGTTCCCTGCCTGCTTTCCCAGGGACAGGGCTCCGTCTACCTGGACCATGTTATGCCAGAGATCAGGAGGGTCCCACAGCCTCCTCCCTGCAGCACCCGCAACAGCAAATCCCTCTGCAGAGCTTCTCCATGTCACCCAGAAATCAAAGCCCGCAAGTCCCATTTAACCGGGCATTTCTCTGCATAGTCAAAAAAAAAAAAAAGTCATCAAAGCAGGCTTTTCAAAGCCCAGCTACCATGACTCAGTTTAGGCAGGTCAGGCCCTGAGATAAGTCACAGCCCTGAAGCACCTCGAAGCTCCTCCACTGTCTGGGCCAAACCCCTCCAGGCACAGACGGAGGCACCCCCGCACCCTTTTCCAAGGGTTGGGGAAGATAAAGGCTGCCCACCCTCACAGCTGGAACACCCCCACCCCTCCGGGGGGAGAGGTGTGAGCAAAGCCCAAAGTCACGAGTCCTCCTCCAGCATGCAGCCCTTTCCCCAAGCCCAGCTTTGCCCTTTGTTCTGGCTGCCAGGATTTGTGACTCTAAGCCACAATAAAGCCAGCGTAGGAACAGAGCAATCCAGCTTAGCTCGCCCTGCCGCCAGGTTAGCTCGGCAGCCCCACAGGCACACACCGAACTCACGGCCTGGCGATTGCGTTACAGCCATGACTGAGTTATCAAAGCTTGATTTTTTTTTTTTTTTTTTTTGCCTTTTTTTGCCACTCTTCCCCACACCCTTCCTTCCCAGGGAAGCCAAACCACTAGCACAGGGTAGGTATCTGGCAAAATAAATACATCTTGAGACAAGCTGCGGCGCTCGCCTCCACAGCTGGCGTTCCCAGAAAGAGCAGGATTCCTCCCAAATGGAGCTGCACTGATTTTTTTTTTTTTTTTTTTTTTCCCCCCCTTCTCTTACACCCCAATCCATAAACCAGGGTCTTGCACAAGACCTCAGCTGCCGCAGCAGACGCCCTGCGCTATGGAAACTCCTCGCACCCTCAGCTTTCCAACCTGGAGATCAACACAAGAAGGAAGCGATCTTTGCTGTATCACCCCGCAAGCGTGATGTATGGATGATGACAGCCATACGGACAGGCCGGACGGATGCGGGACAGCTGTTGTCCACGGCCACCTCCCTGCCACCGTCCCGGTGCCAGACCCCGGGGCCACCTCCATGCCACCGTCCCAGTGCCAGACCCCGGGGCCACCCCCGTGCCACCACCCCAGTACCAGACCCCGGGGCCACCCCCGTGCCACCGCCCCGGTGCCAGACCCCAGACCCCACCGCGGGATGCTCCCAGAAGCCCTTCGGTGGGTACCAAACCTCCTTAGCGTCAGCGGATGAGCACAGCTGGGGTTTTTTTGGGGTTGGGTTTTTTGGTTTTTTTTTTTCCATCTTCATTACAAAAGCAAGGTTTCTTCTCTCTCCTCCCCATCCCACGGGCAGGAAGGGTTTGCCGGCTTTTAGGGTTCGCGGCGTTTCCCTTGCGACGAACCTCGCTGAGCCGCAGCGCATCCCTCCCGGCCCCGCCACC